CCCCATCCCTTCCCTGAACATAGTTTTAAAGTCCATTTCTCCTGGCAGTATATCTGTCTTTTTCTACTTCCTGTAACATGTTAACAACATTGTTTGTCCTGCAGTGAAATCACGCAGCAGCGTTGTCACCCTGTGGACAGGTTATTAACTTTCAAATGGACTACCATTGACAAACAAATTTGATGCCCAGCTCCAGCTAACACTTTTTAAGCAGTTGCAGCAACAGGTGAAAAAAGGTGTAAATTATATGAATAGAAGCTGACCATTGTAAGCACCCCTAGCAGTGTTTTATGGTTTGCCCCAAACCTTGTAACTTTTGCTTTTGCTGGACAGCTTGGCCTGGTAGGGGAAGTAGTAAAAAAAACAGATCTACTGACAGAATCAACAGGTAATGCTACTGACCGACGGCATCATATATGTCATTTCTTTATTTTGTCCTTCATTCCACTTTAAGAATCCAGAGCGTAATTCACACTACCCAGAACTACAACATCAGTTTTTGATGGAATTTGTGATTTGTTCTCTTAATCTACCGTGACCTTTTGTGAACATCAGAGTTGCATTCAGCAGATTACCGTATGTGGCACCTGTGCGTCCGAGTTTTTTGATGCCTCTGATTAGGGCTGCAACAACTAATCGACATAATCGATTATAATCGATTATTGAAAAAGTTGTCAACTTTTTCAATCATCGATTAATCGGCTCCCGATTGGTTGCCCCTGTTCATGGCTCCACACACGCTGCACGCCACACCTCCTTCCCACCTCAGATCCGCCCGCATCCATGCTCCACACGCCACACCTCCTCCCTGCCTCACGCTCACTGCCCGCCCAAATCCACGGTCGGCACAGGGACGCAGGGAGAAGAAGTAAGGAGGAGCAGGTGTGGGCGGATGACAGCCGCCGATAGACAGGCCCGATCTCAGAAACAAGTTGCTGGAAGACTGCTCAGGTAAGCCTGCACTTTCCCCACATGGTGCTCTATAATCTATGGCTGGGATAGTGGGATTTGTATTCCTCTATAGTTGATGGTACATTGTGCTGTATATTATACCATCAGCTATAGAGGACTATAAATCCCAGCAATACATTATACACTTTATGTATAATGTATTGCTGGGATTTGTTGTATTCCTATATAGCTGGTGGTATTCTGCATTGCGCTGTATAGAGGACTACAGCACCCAGCAATAGTAGATTATACAGCGCAATGCAGAATTCCACCAGCTATAATGTACTATTGCTGGGATTTGTTGTATTCCTCTATAACTGGCGGTATTCTGCATTGCGCTGTATAATGTGCTTTTGCTGGGTTTTGTAGTCCTCTATAGCTGGTGCCATTCTGCATTCATTGCTGTATAATTTTACACTTTTCATTTCACTATATTGCACAACACACTTTTTTTTTTCTTTTTTACTTCCACCGCTCTAAGCTTGCTCCTGTGATGGACTGCAATCTCAATACAAACTAGTAGTCCATCACTGGAGCCATTTTTTAAAATGTATTTTCTTTTTTATCCGATTAACCGATTAATCGAACTTAATAATCGGCTAACTAATCGATTTTGAAAATAATCGTTAGCTGCAGCTCTACCTCTGATTTAGCTTTACAGAGGAACTTTCTTTTTGTACAGTTTGTAGAGCTAACCCATAACTGGGGTACAGAACTAACATTTGTGTAGAGGTTAACGAATCTATTTGCAAAAAAGGGTCAAATCTGCAAATCTCGTCTTTTTTGGGGGATCACTCATTTACAGATTTTAGCTTCAGTGCACATAAAGCCTATATGCAGCGGATGGTGTATTTCATAAACCATATTAAGGCATTCGGGGAATTCAGGAAGTACATATTTAAGCACATTTGTGATTCACTAATAAAGATGAAAATCGATTTGTCAGATTCCACCCTTTTTCCAAACCGATTCTCTAGTCATAGTAACTGTCTAATTAGACTCCGGAATAGACAAACTTGTTTCTGATTCCAAAGCCGGCCAGCTCTATTTAGAGGTCATTGAACATCTTCCTTTGGCGACTGTAGATGATTAATTTTTGCCCTTTTGGCTGCTTGGCTCGCCGAATTTGTCCAGCGCTGGTTTTGTAAATGTAACGCTAATTTAATTTGGAGCTCAGCGAGAGAGATTTCAAGTTATCCGATTACACAATAAACACCTTTCCTTTCTGAGAGTCATGTAAAATGGTTATTATATAACATATATAGTGGCGGTAATAACCTGTATCTCCCGACTCTCTCTCTCTCTGACCTCCTTGTAGTTTGTGGTGCCTTTATTAACTCATGACTTGCTAAGGAATAAAATAAAATGTTTATTAAGCCTTCGCTGTAATCGCTGCTGGTGGGGATCATAAGGTAAGGAAAGCAAATTATATTCAATGGTGTATACAGCAAGCAAACTTTCCCATAGCCACCAGTAAAATGCTTTCTTTAATCGTTTAGCACCATGAAGACTTCATCCAGGATATAATTGGGTGCTACCAAGCTGGAAATGTTTATAACATGCAAGCGCTGTGTCAAGGTGCAAAGCCACCACAAATAGAACAGTCATCGTTTTGTTTTTTTAGGGTACTGGCATGTTTGTTGCATGTTATCAGCTCACAAAATATAAGTTCCAACCTATCCAGGGTAAACCATAAACTTTGCAAATCTAACCTGCTACCTCTACCTTCTTTTCATCACGGGCCCAGGCTGGTATAAACATTGCGCTGTTTACATTCAGCCTGTTTGCCATATGCACTGGTACTGCAGACCAGGACTGAGAAAAAGAATCGTACCAGCTTTAGAAACCTGTTGAATTAAAAGCCTTGTGGTATGAAGGCTGTCATCACGGGCCCAGGCTGGTGTAAAAATTGCGATGTTTTTTCTTTCAGCCTGTTTGCCATATGCACTGGTACTGCAGACCGGGACTGAGAAAAAGAAGCCCAACAAAGGGTCCTCCTCCTGCTATCACTATTGTACCCGCCGGTCAGTGAGAGCTTCAGGAGCCGTAGGGAATTATTAGTTTGGAGGAAATACTTCATTTATGAACAGTTATTCTTTTAAACATACCGTTTGTGATAGTCTACGGTTAAAACTGGTGTATTGTTAAAATCTCACAGCGGAGACAGAAAAGGGGTCTGCGGACGCCCTGGACCTGGCGGTGTCCTCCCCACGTTCACCAGATGCAGGAAGCACCCATAGCTCTCCGTCTTCACCGGATTCCAAAAAGAAACCTCGAGGAATAAAAAAGCTGTTCGGGAGGTAAGTGGACTCTATTTTGCAGCAGTGCTCAGGAATTTTCACTTTCATAAAATGACAATAGAACTACCAGTATTTCTGCTATAAATTGTGATTGAACTGAACTGTAAAATTGGAATAAAATTGTCTAACATTTCTTTATTGTTTCCATATATAACAATACAGACATGTAAACATCCTGTTAAAAGACTCTCGCAGGGAGAAATCCAATTAAAAACAGAAGAGAAAGATATTCATAACAAAACCACCATAAATTTCCCTTCCCATTGGTATTAAAAACATTTACCTACGAATTGGAAAGAAGAAAAAAAAAAAGTAATCTCCTCCTTCCCTCATTCCTCTCCAATGGCCATGCAAAGGAGCCTCACATTCCTGGTAAGCACAGGGTAGTGATGTCAGACTCTATCCATGGTTGACATGTCACCATAAATTGTGGGTACCTGTCCTGGGATCACGCTACTAACTCTTCAACCCTTCTTAAAAAATTAATTTGACCCAATCTTTAATTTTGAGGTGCATCTTGAGACCTCCAATATCTAGCTATTACAGTTCTTGCAGCAAATAGAAAAAAACTTCCTTAATTGGTCCTGGTATAATAGTCAATAGCGCGACCTCAGGTGTAAACAGTCCCTGGACCGTAATCAAATGTGCTCCTATTTTTATAGACCATTTCCCAAAAAGATTGAATCTCTTGTAGGGACCACCATACATGTAGCATAGTACCTCTCTCTACTCCACATCTCCAGCATTGATCGGATATGTTTGGGAAGATCTTATGTAATAAAGTGGGGAAAATTGGAATGTTCTATACTGTTTTTTTCAGGCTGAAGAGAAGTCAGTCTACCACGTTAAACCAAGATGAAGACTTCCCGGAGGAGGAGTTCACGAGAGGAGGGACCAGATCCACCGCTGGGCCAAGATTGGGCTGGTCCAGAGATCTTGGTCAATCACACAGGTCTGTATGTGAACAAATCATTGTCTGGTCATCAATCCTGACCAAGAAAAGTGTTTTAAAGTTAATTAAGGATATGAAAGCTTTGACACCATGATAAATGTGGTTTGCTTCCTATGTCGCTTGATGCATCTGGGAGATCTCTGCACCTTCAGTGCCTGACTCATAGCTTCCACCATCGTTACAGAGGGGGGTCCACTCTCCCACATTTTTACTTATTTAACGTATTATAGACCTGAGAAGTGGGAACAGTGCTTGATGTGAACATTAACATCCTCAAAATGGGCAGGAACAGAACCAGGACTATGGCACGCTGGTTTCCTAAAGACATCTAAAAGTCTTGCCAGGTGATCAAGTGTTAACGGTTTTGCTTGCCCAGAAAGATTTCTAAGAAGTTATATAATCCCTCTATAAGGATCTTGGTACAGTAATGGTGGTGCCATACTAATATAGGAAAGTCTACCTGGACAGGTCATCCACTGCCTCACAGGAATAGACTCTAGGGAACTCTTGGAAGGTTATCCTCCACTGTAGGTGTCCCAGCTACATGGCCATCCCAGCGATGATGTAGGTTGAGTTAAATAGCTCGGGGCACAGACCTACCTCCATCAGTGCAATAAATTGCAGTAGTATGGAACTGTAACCGAGACTATGTAAGTGCTGTTCTGATCCTGCAGTGATTTGGACACGCCGTTTGCCAAGTGGTCGAAGGAGCAAGTGTGCAACTGGCTGAGGGACCAAGGGCTGGGAAGCTATGTGAACAGCTGCAAGCAATGGATCGTCTCGGGGCAAACACTACTGCATGCATCCCAGCAAGACCTGGAGAAGGTGAGGCCGGCTCAGTCTCTGCAGAGGCCCTTTTGTCAGTGATATACAATAATATGTAAATGTATAATGTGGGACATGCCAGGAAGGCTACATGGTGGGGAAAGCCATTGAATGCAACTATTGTACAGTAAAACAAAATCCAGTATATAAAGTTGACCTATGAGAAAAAATACTTAGCTTAGTTCAGTCACGTGAACCAAGCACAACCCCAGCCAAAGTGTTTTGTTTTGTTCTGAATAGCACAGGGCAGGGTTAGAACATCAGTCATGTTTTTACTGCAGTCCTACTTGAGTAGATTTCCCTTCACTTCAGGAATTGTTGAGAAATCTCTCTATTCGGGACAAAGACCAGAGTAATTGACCATGTTTTAATTACTGTCCCAGTGACCGCCACACCCCTTTTGTCTTGCATGAGCATCACCGGGACAGGAAGTCAGGAATATTTTCCCCAGTAGATTCACAGGTTTTATTTTTAACACTCACACTACAAAAATGTAAAAAACTGGCTTTTATTTTGGCTCTTGTATCTATTTTTATAATGACTATGTAATGCCTGTATATGATGCCTTCCCTTTCAATGTCACTGTCCATCTCTTCAGGAACTGGGTATTAAACACCCATTACATCGGAAGAAGCTTCAGCTGGCTCTGCAGTCCCTGGGATCTGAAGATGACAGTAACTATGGGAAATTGGACTACAAGTGGGTCACACGTAAGTCAGTTTAATTGACTTGTCTTTATGTCCTGGCGACATCCTGGTGTCACCCTACACTAGATCAATAACTATAGCCTCTTAGGAATGATTTGTAGGGTGGCTTTACAATGTTGCACCTCTATTGGGTTTTGCTTGATGTATGTGCCCTCCTTGGAGCGTTTTCCCTCCTTTTTTCTTTTTTCAATGGCATGACAAAGTGTAATGTGATCTAATACAAAGAAGGAAAGTTGTTTTTCAACAGGCCCTGTAGCATCTAGGGTTGTCAGACAGCAGACTATACTATGCTTTTCCTTTCTGATACTACAACTTGGTGATAACTCTCTGCACTGATTCTCCAGGGTGGCTGGACGACATAGGGCTCCCTCAGTACAAGACGCAGTTTGATGAGGCGAAGGTCGATGGACGAATGCTGCATTATATGACAGTGGTAAGCTTCCTAGATGCTTATATATATATTATATATACAAATATGTTTTATTTATTGTATTTTACAGTTCTGGCCATAATAAAATATCTTTACAAAATCACTACATGTTCGCTTTTTTTATGACATGGTTGATCATCTTTTGATTCATGTTTTTGGCACACAATGTCTCCATCCTGTTGCTCTCCTCTTCTCACATGAGCTTTGCTCTTTGCTGAGCTGGTGAGACGACCCGTATTCACCTGGTTGAGATTCAGCCATTGGAAGTGTTTACTGAGGTGTTACTCCAGCAAATAACCTACTCCCAGTGTAAACAATGCTGCTTACCTTGGCAAGACATTAGTGAAGTGGTGTTTCCGCCCTATAACACCCTTTCTTCTCTGTAGCCGTGTCACTAGACAGGTATATAAAATGGCTTTTAGTCCACTTATGTACTCCTTCAAAAGTCATGACTTTCCGCCAGTGATATGTTCTTTATACCAGCTATTGAGTTGAAAAAAAAGGCTTACAGAGGGAGTGGCAGCTTTGCTCAGGAAGGGGAGGTACTTAAGTGGACTGAGATTTCATAGTGGGTGTCCACCAGTGCTGTGATGTTCCCTATTGGTGCGCAGAAAAAACATAGGCTGCTGTATAGCTTGCACAGCACATGATTGTCATCATCACTGGACTGGCTTCCTGATGGTGACAACCTGTGCAATGTGGTGTGTTCACTTGTAGTCTCCACTAGGGCGGGCATGTGATGGGGTGACAACACAGGAGCACAGTTGGGAGAAAGGTACAGAGCTTGGTCACCCCATATCAGGAAGTGCCTGAAGAAGAACCTTCATGGCAGGATCACCAGGGATTCTTTTAATGAAAGTTGCAGATTTAGAAAAATAAAAAAACCTACTTTTGAAATATTAACATGTGAAAGCTTATATGAGGTTTTAGAGCTGCTATAATACCCGTGGTTTCACAATGCGATGTTGAGTGGGTCAGTGCCTGGATAGTTTAAAGTCCTATAGTCTAGTTGTTTGTGTATTTATTACAAACATTACGTTTTCCCTTGCATAGCTTTACTTTCTCAGTCTGTAATAACATGGAGTTTTATCAATTATTTTCCTGATCTGTGTCTCTTTCCCATTTTTTTTCTCCCAGGATGATTTGCTGTCTTTGAAAGTTGTCAGCGTCCTTCACCACCTCAGTATTAAACGTGCCATACAAGTCCTGCGAATCAACAGCTTCGAACCCAACTGCCTGCGCAGGAGACCCTCCGATGAGGTGAACCAGACTTCAGTACCTCTCATATTCTGGGAATATTTTAGAAGCCTCGGATCAGCAGATACAGACAGAGTCTTACTAGATGACCATGAAATGTGCCTGATTTTTATGCCACTGAGGCATACCGTACATACGGCCTTACAGATATCACTAGTACTGCGACCATTTTTACAGATTTACATATTCTTAACAAGTACTAAATACATTTTAAAACAAGTCCTTACTGACCTCACTGTAGCTGCAGGTGCTTTCCTGTAATTCATCCTTGAATTTCACAGCAGAAAGTTTTTTCGATTTTGTTTCCCCCATCCCAGCAGTGACTCTGCTGCTCAGCTACCCATGCTTCTCCCTTCCAACAGTGACTCTGCTTCTCCGCTCCGTACGCTTCCCAGCAGTGACTCTACTACTCAGTTCCCCACGCTTTCCCCTCCCAGCAGTGACTCTGCTGCTTAGCTCACCATGCTCCCCTCTCCTATCAATGACTCAGCAGCTCAGCTCACCCCACCCAGTAATCACATGGCAGTCTTCTAGCTTTCTTATCTCTAATGTAATAGTAGAGCATAAACATATGTAGGTACTTAAACTAGTTGTACCAAAAGATAAAACGGATGACTGATAATAATTTTATTCTGTTTGGCCTTCTTGTAGAGTAACATTACTCCCTCCGAGGTAGCCCAGTGGACCAATCACCGAGTCATGGAGTGGCTGCGCTCTGTGGATTTAGCAGAATATGCCCCTAACTTGAGGGGTAGCGGGGTACACGGCGGACTTATGGTAAGTACTGATAATTGGTAACATGTCCTTTAGACTTGGGAAGCAGACAAGATGATTGTCCTAAACGGGCAAAGTGACGGCTACTCTGTAAAGTGTATGCATAGACAGTTTTCCTTCTTTTGTATGGAGTGGGGAAGGTTGAGCTTTTTTTGTTATCATTGTGCCATTAGGGATATTTCCCTTCACTTCCTGTGCCAGAGACACAACAGGGTGTGAGGAAATCTCTAAAAGGGAGGGGAATTCCCCTTACACATTTGTCACCAGAGCAGATGTACTCATTGGAAGATTGACTCTAAAGTCTGGTAATGGCCCTGACATTTTTGGATTCCCCGTTGTTTTTTGTCTAGGTGACAGTGGCCACTAACACAAATCAAGAGACTGTATCTCAGATGGCAAGAGATGCCTAAAACAGGTTGTAATCCTATCACACTCCATTCAAACCTATAAATAAAAAATTTAGCTGCACCTTTGCCTACTGCTTCCTCCGTCCATTAAATCGGATTCTGAAATGTTCTCAATAATTAAAGAAAAATCCCATTTATTTTTTCCCCAGAAGCATTTGATCTCTTTTATCTCAGGTCAATTTTTTTCCTTTTTTTTTTGCTGCTATGCACATACAATACAGCAAAAGTATGACGATGTCACCAGCACACCAAAATACTTTCAGGATTACAAGTGTTCATTTATTAAAGATTCATGTCATGTAACCAAGAGCTTTCGGGGCCGCAAAGGGTCCCTTCATCAGGTTTAGCATGGACCATGTACACATACAATACAGGCAGTTGGTATTAAGTCACATTGTAGTTGTACACAATATCCCGGAATGCATGTTATAAAACATATACATCAATTTTAAAAAAACACCGTCTGGCAGACAAGATATAAAGCCATATGAGAGTGTTAGCAGTGGAATTAGATGACCACTGCAAGTGTTTTTAAATCCCCCCAGGCCAAGAGAGGCATAGAGGCCAGGGACCAAGGGTTATTGTTGGGAAGAAGGGAAAGGGATAGCTAGGTAGGCGTGGTTCTTCAAGGTTGTTGGAGAACGGGGAAAGGAAAAAAAGCCAGGGTCCAGGGCAGTGAAAGAGAAATAGGGAAGGGTGGAGGGGGCTGTGTTCAAAGGGGAAGGAGGGTGTCCCACTTCCAAGCTATCCCAGTTGGGACTGCATCCTGTGAGACAAAGGTAAGAGTGATGTCCTCATCCTTCAAGAGACTAGTGGCCCCACAGTCTGCCTTCTCAAGTCAATTTGAAGGAGTGATTAGGCAAATCCAAAGATGTTTTATGGGCTTTAATAGCATTTGTTTTTCTGTTTTTGGATCAGTCTCTTTATTTTGTCGAATTAGTGTAAAGTGATTATCAATTTAACTTATGATCCTTTTACAGTTTCCATAAATAATCACAAACTCCAATTAAAAAAATGCAAATCCCAGATGTATAATAAATGAGGGCAACAAGAAATTGAGATCTGGGATCCAATGGAATATAAAAAAGTAGAAAATATTCTTTTTTTGCCCAAAACTTTAAACTGGACATGCGACTATAACATAAAACGACCATGGGGCCCCAGTGCAAATGCTAAAGCGTGTCTAGCGTGTATTATACTATGTGCCAAAACAAATTATATATAAAACTTGGCCAATTGAACACCAACAAAGAATATGTTATAAACCGCGCATCAGTGTCTAGAATATATGTTTTAGGGTAAAGAGTTCCTAAAACCAGCCGTGATGGTGCTAATGGTTTAGATTCAGAGATAGATATGGTTTTGCATTGGGGCCCCATGGTAGTTTTAGGCTTTTGCTTAATAAACAACATTGTTTACTTTTTTTATATACTATTAGATCCTGATTTCTTGCTGACCTTGTATATTATAATGTTCGAGTGCAATCCACGGTGAATTACATATCGTCATCAAGATTGATTTATATAATATTTTTGGGGCTATTTGCACTTTATTCAAACTGCAATGTTTTGGGGATCCCAGATCTAATGTGATCATTTTGGTCAAATAAAAAAAAATTGCTACATGTGATGTTATAAATTTTTTTTCAGGTGCTTGAGCCTCGGTTTAATGTGGAGACAATGGCGCAGCTGCTGAACATCCCGCCGAACAAAACCCTCCTACGGCGACACCTGGCAACCCACTTCAACCTCCTGGTGGGTCAGCAGTCGCAGCTGCAGAAACAGGAAGCGCTGTCAGCTCCAGAATACGTGTTGTTGACAGCAACAGCCAAAGTCAAGGTGAGGAGCCTTCAGGCTGGTACATGGAGGCAGGAAACTCATTTAAAGGCAACTTCCAAATTAGTTTAAACCTTACATATACTGCATATATCCCAAGGTGTTCAGACTTTTAATTTCTGCATGCTTCTGTTCTGGAAAAAGGATCACCAGCACTCTATGGGCTGCTATAACTTTTCTAAATAAAGGCCAAAAGGCACCATATAGGCGCCTATCACTCCCAACATTACAGTTATAGCTACATATCCCATTAGCATTTAGTAGTGTGTGATATAGACAATAATGATCATCTTGTATAATAGTGGATTTGTTAATGTTATTACATTGCATAACCTGGTCCACTATACCGTAAGTTAATGGAATTTGGGTAACCTGCTCCCAGTGAGTGTCAGTCAGGGTAGCAAACCACACACATGTCTGTCTCAATAATGAGTTGCCCATCTAGAACAAAAAGTGGGAAAAGGGAATTCTTCTAAAGGCCATTTTCGAAAATGAAAACTTTTCTTTTTTGTTTGTTTTTTTAAGCTGCTATTACACTTTAGTAGAGGAAACTAGAACAATTTAGCTAGAGAACTGCCATTTTGAGATTCTGATTTTTCCAAAGAAAATCCTAAGTCTGTCTGTAACTTTATTCGATTCCCTTCATGCACGCAGCCGAAGAAACTGGCCTTTAGCAACTTTGGAACATTGCGGAAGAAGAAGCAAGAGGAAAACGAGGAGCATGTGTGTCCGATGGAGCTCGGGCAGTCTTCTGCCAACAACATCATCAAACCTTTCCGGGGCGGCCTTGACCTCCGAATGTTGGACGAGGAGGACTTGGATAGACTGGAACAGGTAGGCTTAGAACATGTGCCCAACATGCCTGTTCCAGTGAGCACCCCACTGGCCATGATGGCAATTGCATGCAAAGGTGGCAGATGACAAGGCTTAGACCTGATGTTGAGCAGCTGGTAACAAAGGAAAAATACATTCAGAGAGGCCTGTTTTAGAAAGTTTTGTGGCTGGCAGAGGTCACAGTAAACACACAACCTTGTTGGTGTTAAGTTTGGGTTTTTGTTGCTGGATCTTTACGTTTAACCAAACATGGCTGATCAGTTCACTCTAAAGTGTATTTCCAGTTTTGTAGTTAAATTGGAGAACCCCCCACTTTATGTGTTCCCATTCACACAGCATACCTACAAATATTTTTAAAAAATATTTCTTACCCTTTTAGCTTTTTCTTTGGTGAAGGCCTTTGTGCAGATTCCAGGCTACTCTGAGCAGTTTGAATGTGAAAGCAGAGGGACAAACTCAGGGGCAGACTGAGCTTCTTCTCATTAACATACAATGCTTCAAAGTAGGGATGCACCGATACTAGTATCGGTATATGTGCTCTGATACTTACCTATAATACTGGAACTTCTGGTCAGAGGGAGATATTCCTCTGACCAGCAGTGCCGAAGGAGCATGGATCTGACTTCCTTTCCAATCAGGAAGCCAAATGGGTTATGAACCAGCTTCCTGATTGGCTAGGAGCCGGCTTCCTAACCAATCGGGAAACCGGGCGGCATGTCATGACCCGCTTCCCGATTAGCCTCAGGAAGTGAAACCAGTGTTCTTTCGAACACCGACTTCCCGAGCAATTGGGAAGCCAGGCGGGTCATGATCCACCACCCGGCTTCCTGATAATCGGGGCACACGGCGCCGGTATCAGCGAGTACCGGAAAAAAATATTGGTACTCAATACAGAAAACAAGGTATCGGTGCATCCCAACTTCAATGTATTTAACCCTTTGTTAGGACAGACAGCGGTCAAAACTAGAATACAACTGGTAATGAAATCATCCAGCGCAGTGTATACAAGGTTAATTAGAGTAAACATAACTTCACACAGCCCTATCCTTAACATTGCAAGGGGGGGGAGCTAGGTAGGATTTTTAAGCAAGTAAAAAGCACTTAAAAATTTAAGCAGCCATGTTACATTTTTTACAATTCTGCATTGTGAATGGGAACATAACAAATATAAAATAGATTTTATGCCAGTTTGGCTGCAGAAGTGGAAATACACTTTAAGTAAAATCACTGAAGCCAGAGTGTTGATGGAAACATTTCTACGTCATATATTTTAAATAAATGTCAAATGTCTTGTTTGTATGTCAGCAATGTGCGAGCCGTGTTGCCGTGCGTTTATCATTGCATCCATTGTAAGGTGTAGCTGCAGGTTGATAATACTTTTTTATACTTTTGCAGATGGAAGATTCAGAAGGAACAGTGAGACAGATTGGGGCGTTTTCAGAAGGCATCAACAACCTGACAGTAAGTGTGCGTTTGGAGGATTATATATCAGAACAATAATTGATCTTTCTGGTCTCAGATGTGCAGCACAGTAAATGTATAAAGCTCATTATACAACCTATTTGTACAATCTCCTTTCAATCTACCAGCTATGTGTTACAAAACCTGTCTGCCTGGATACAAATTGAATAGTAGGGATATACCGATACCATATATATTTGGGTGCGTACTCGTACTCTCCCAAATACTCCCGATGCCTATTCAGATACCGGAACTTCCGATATCAGGAAGCCGGGCGGTGAGTCATTACATGCCACCCAGCTTCCTGATTGGCCGGGAAGCAGGATCCATGCTCTCTCATCACTTGGAAGCCGGATCCATGCTCCCTCGTCACTTGGAAGCCGGCTTCCTGGCCAATCAGGAAGTCGGGGGGCAGGTAATGACTTCCCCCCAGACTTCCTAATTGGCATGGAACCGACCAATCGCATAAATGCATTCATCTGTACCAGCAATCTTTTGATTTAGTCTTATATTTTTATATATTTTTTCTTTTTACCTATACATGCCCATTAGACTGAACCAAATTTGTGTTCTAAAACCAGGGTGCTTTACACCCTGATCTTTAATCACCTGAAATCCAGATGTACACCGGCAACACAAGTACTCTTCTGTTATTTGTATTGGATACATCCCAGAACACTAACAACTGACGCATTTTGGACTGTACATGATACTTTATAATCAGTCGTTCTACCCAGTCCAAAATGTGTCAGTCGTAGATGTTTATGATGGGAAGTTTATCCAAAAAGGGTGTCTGAAGTATGTAGCTGTGATTTAGAGTAAAGACACCGCCAATTGTGTTTGTAAGGGATACATATAGGTGTGGGGGGCTGGTCTGTAAGGGGTACACAGGTGCGAGGGCTGGTTTGTGAGGTGTACACAGGTGCAGGGGCTGGTCTGTGAGTAGTACATATAGGTGTGGGGATTGGTCCATAGGTGGTACACAGGTACGGGGGCTGGTTTGTAAGGGGTACATATAGGTATGAGGGCCAGTGCCCAGGGGGATAGCAAAGATGTCACCAGCACACCAAGTAGATCGATTTTAGCAAATGTCCATTTTAATGACAAACACATAAGGGTTACACAGGTGCGAGGACTGGTCTGAAAGGGAATCATAGAGGTGTGGGGACTTGTCCATAGGGGGTACACAGCTTGAGGGGGTTGGTCTGTGAGGCATACACAGGTGTGGGGGCTGGTCTGTAACTGGTACATATAGGTGTGGGGACTGATCCATAGTGGGCACACAGGTGCCGGGGCTGGTCTGTGAGGGGTGCATACACAGGTGTGGGGGCTGGTCTGTAAGGAGTACATATAGGTGTGGGGACTGGTCCATGGGGGGTACACAGTTGCCGGGGCTGGTCTGTGAGGGGTGCATACATAGGTGTGGGGGCTGGTCTGTAAGAGGTACATATAGGTGTGGGG